GGAGGAGGAGGAGGAGGAGGAGGATGCAAGGAGTGTGTCTGGCTGGGCTGTGCTCTGTGGCTGTTCTCTGGCTGCTGCCTTTGGCTTCCCTGCTGGGACTGTGGAGCCAGTGGCTTGCGGACCCAGGTTGATGCCGTAGCACATGCAGGCACGCCACCCGTCTGACAGCTGGGACAGCCAGTTGAAGCCGCATGCCTCCAGGGCCACCCACAGCCATGAGGCCATCTCATCTGCCAAGAAGCCCAGCAGCACCTGAGCCTCCAGCACCCAACTCCAGAAGATTCCCCTGAGCCCAAGCTGCCCTCCTCAGATTTCCAAGCTTCAAGCCGGCTTGCTCCTGCAGGAAGCTCGGTCCAGTGGTAACTATACTTAATTTCCTGCTGGGCATTCAGAAGTGCCTGCCTGATGGGGGCGCTGCTAATTGGATTTATAACCCACCCTTGACTTGGAGTCTCAGAGCGGCTTACAAACTCCTTTCCCTTCCCCTCCCTACAATGGACACCCTGTGAGGTACGTGGGGCTGAGAGAGCTCTGAGAGAACTGCTCTTTCAAGAACAGCTCTGACATGTTCTGTCGGGGGGGGGGGGGAGCGCAGTCCCCACGGGTGAGGTATGGGAGGGCACATGACAAAGCCCCGCCCCCTGCTTCCGGCCGCCCCGCTTCTGGCCCTCATTTAGCCAGGAGGAGGCAGGAGCAGAGGGAGGGTAAGTTGCTTCCTCCCTGCCTCTCCCCCACCCCTGCCTGCCTGGGGCCAGGGAGGGCCTTCACGGGGCTTCCTTGCACTCCCGCCGGCCTTGCAGGTCCACTCGGCATTGGAGCTGCAAAGCCGGCCGCGGCGGCCGGGACCATTGGGGGAGGGGTGTGTGACCTTATGACACACTTCCGGTGATGTCAGGGAGTGTGGCCTTATGACACACTTCCGGTGATGTCAGGGGGTGCGGCATATGCTAATGAGTTATGCTAATGAGTTCCCCTAGCTCTTTTTCTACGAAACGACCCCTGGACAGATCTATGGCTTGCCAAAGGTCATCCAGCAGCTGCAAGTGAAGGAGTGGGGAATCAAACCCGGTTCTCCCAGATTAGAGTCCGCACACTTAACCACTACACGAAAGTGACAGGCAAGGACGGTTTGAAAGCTGAGATTTTGCAGGTATGCAAACCATCGCATGGAAGTTTAGTGTGCAAGAGAATCAGAAAAGTAAAACTCACCTTCAAGAGTTCCTCTGATGTAGGCCTGTCTTGGGGAATTTTCTGGAGGCAAGAGTCTACAAAGTTTCGAAAATAATCAGACCTAAAACAGGGAAAAGAGACAGAAAATTAAACTAAATTGCCAGAAGGCAAGTTTACAGTACAGCAAGTGCAATGGATGCTTTTTCACAGAGTTATTTGGAGAATCATCTAAAAATGCAGCAGAGCTTCAACCAGGGTGCCAGCACCCACTATAGGCACTGAGCTTATGGCACAAGCAACAGCCGATCTCCAGAACTTTACAGGACAGCACTGGTTTGCTCTCCCCCCCCCCAACAGGCATATATAGAATTTCAAAAGGTCACTAAAGAGCCCACTCCAAAATCTTTTCAGCATACCTTTTTCCAGGGGTCATTTCATAGAAAATGAGGTGCAGGAGCTCATTAGCATAACTTATTTGCATATGCCACACTCCCTGACATCACCAGAAGTGTGTCAGAAGGCAACACCCACCGCTCAGGCTCCACTGGACTGTTTTGGATTGCTAGCTATTGGGGGGGGGGGAACGTGCAGATCTGTCCTCGCAGAGGAGGGAGAGCTTGTACCTGAATAAAACTTGGTCTTAAAGGTGCCACTGGACAGTTTTGGACCTGTTGGCTCTGCAACTTACCTGGCTGCTTCTTGCTCTGACTGAGGGCTGCTGGGAGATGGGGGTGGGGCTTGTTGCACGTGCCCGCCCCCTGGGCTCTTTACTGCTGGAGCTCCGCTCCTGTGCGCTCCTGCAGGAAATGACCCCTGCCTTTTTCTTAATCCAAACCTGACACTTCAAGACCCGGAGTGACAAAACCTGGAATTGTCATCAAATGTGTTAAGATGTTTCTTATCTCAATTGTTCACTCACCATTCATTGGACTGGAGTGTAGGGGATTCATTCTGCGCTATGTGATATAAGGCACTCATTGCATTCATGTTAAACAAAGGAGGCTTCCTTTCCGCTGTGTAGAAAAAGAAATTATTGGCTTAATGTAGGAAAACTGCCGAATAATTTCCCAGTCAGCTCATCCCTGTTCTTTTATAAAGCCCCTCAAATCAGGCTTGCCAGCATCCATATGGACAGAGAAAAAATGTAGAGGCTTGAATATCTGGAGTGGACACCAGTACCCAGAAGGTGTTTGGTATAAAGAAGGCACCTCCAGTTATTAAAAAAAAAAAATCAGGTGGCACATGATCTGAAAGATTTCTACCTGAGGCTCTGGAAAGTGCTGCCTGGCTGAGTAGTAGACAATACTGACCCTGATGGACCAATGATTTCATTCAGTGTAAGGCAGCTTCATTGGATTCCCAAGCAGAGTCCACAAATGCTTCCTCACAGCTCCAAATAACCTTAATGCAGCCTTTGTTTTTAACAACCCCCCCCATGGAAACCTGCTTATACAACCAACTGCCAGCTACATTACACAATCATTTATGGAACAGGATCATTTCAAGTGCTTAGGGAGGCCCTCACTGGCCACATGGGCATATTTCGTTCAGCCTCCCGTATCTAACACTGGCCAGTATGCTGCAGTGGAAAGGTCACAAGTAGGGTATGATGGAGATACAGCTTTCCCGTTTTCTATGCCCCCCGCACCTAGAATTCCGAGGTAAACCATCCCACTACACTGAGAGTCTCTTTAGCTAGCATGGCTAATTGCCATTAATTAGGGATACACTTGCTGGTGTATTTTGATCTCTTCAAAGACAGGTGCTGTAGATTTGGGGCACTTGGCCTTGCACCCAAGTCTAATCCAAATTCCCTTTTCAATGTTATCTAAGCTGGTGGCCATCCCTGCCTCTTGTAGCAACAAACTCCACAATTTAAATGATATACTGTGTGAAGAATTCTTTCCCCCGGCCACAATCTACCACTGAACGGCTTCATTTCATGACCTTAGATTCTGATATTTTGAGGGAGAAAAGTTGATTCCTCGAAGCCATTCAAAATTTTTACAAACCTTGATCATATCCATCCCACCGTAATAGTATCCCACCCCTCTAAACTAAAATGCCCCAAGAAAGATGCTTTGGTGACCTTGCTGCTCCTCATCCTCCTCATTACTCTGATCGCTATTTTCTGTATCCTTCCAACCCCACAGGGTCCTCTTTGAGATGGAACAATGGGAAGAGCACACAGAAAACGTTGTAGGGATGCTCAAGGCCTTTTTGACTAGTTACTATGGGCCAAGCCTTTTCTTTCAGATGAAGGGTTGCAGAATCAACAACATTCAATTCTGCTCTGGTTAAGCACAATTATAAGTCCACTGCTGTATGCTACAGAAGAGTTTTGAAAAAAATACCTCTCAGACTTCCCATTAAATTTAATTTCACGAGGTGTGGGAGGAAGGAGGGAAACAGGTGATGTTCCCAAGGGAAGGCAAATCCCAGAGGTCAAAGCATGAAGGATTATAGACACCTATAGGTAAAGGTAAAGGTTCCCTTGCTTGAAAGCCAGTCGAATCCGACTCTAGGGTTGCGGTGCTCATCTCCGTTTCAAAGCCGAAGAGCCAGCGCTGTCCAAAGACGTTTCCGTGGTTATGTGGCTGGCATGACTAAACACCGAGGCGCACGGAACGCTGTTACCTTCCCACCGAAGTGGTACCTATTTATCTACTTGCAATTTCTTGCTTTCAAACTGCTAGGTTGGCAGGAGCTGGAACTAGAGACAGGAGCTCACCCCGTCTTGCGGCACCCGGGTCTTGAACTGCTGAACTACTGACCTTCCACAGCCTGTAGTTCAGCGTCTTAACCACTTGAGCCACCGCAGCTCCATAGACACCTATAACACTTGTTAAAAAGTTGAACATCTTAGGACAGACAAGAGAATGAAGGTAGGTACAGCAAAGGGTGTATGCAGGATTAATGAGGTAAGGGGCAAATTTCAAGTAGCAAGGCAATACTGAAAATTCCTTCCTGTGTGCTGAACAAGAGCAATGTGCCAGAACAAAAAGAAGATTCCAAAGTGTTTGGGAAGTGTACACTGAACATGCAACCTAAACAAAGTACACACTTCATTTCTCAAATTACACTTTTGACTGTGATATGGAAGAAAAACCTGTCAAGGAACCTGTTGGGAGGTCGCAGATCTGACAGGATGAGGGACACAGCTTACCTAATTCAATACATGTTATCCCAAGAGACCATACATCGACTTTACCATCATACTGCCCTTCATCCATGGCTAAAATCACTTCTGGGGCCATCCTAGAATACAGAAGATAAAATGTTCAATGAAGTTACTCATCATAACCCCTGTGTTATTTTAGTGGCATTCATGAGTGCACAAAGAGTAGCCTCAGTTACTGCAGTGAGGAAAAAACAGATTGGGTATCTATTCCCAGGCATAATATCCTAAGAATGCCACATGTAGCAGGAGGTAAATTCACAACACTGAGGGTACTAGGACAAGAGGTGTGGGTCCCTGGGCAAGAGGTGCACAAATGGGCCTCTTTCAGGCATCCCACCACCCCATGCCAAGGTTGGTAACTAGATCCATTCAGTGTTAACCCCTTATATACTAACAGGCCCAGAATTTAAATGCCTGGGACCAAAATTCTCCCCAATCCATATTAAGTGTTTTCGATTAACCAGATAACCAATTATGCAACACGATTCCAGACACCCCAGTTACTTCAAGTGATAACGAATGCTGAAGCCATTTCCTTACCAATATGGCGTCCCCACAAAAGAATTAGCAGGAGAGGCTATGGAAGCAGATCCAAAGTCTGCAAGCTTCACCTGGCCCGGTTCTGTCAGTAGGATGTTTCCTGCCTTGATATCTCTGAGGAATAGGAGAATGTTAATGTCACACTCTAAAGCCCACTTACTGGCAGGCCCCAACAGATTAGATGCAAGTACAGCTGTACCAAAACAGTATCATAAGGGGCAGCATTGTACTGGTACAATAAAGCCAGCGCTGAATCAATAAAGCATCGACACTATGCAAAGTCCAAAACAGGTAAATGTGGGTGGAAAGGGGGCTTAGAAGTGATATGCAAGGGTGAGGGGAGTACTTTACTTGTCACAGACTTTCCCCTGCATAAAGAGGACCAGAAGCCCAATACAGGAGGACTAATTTTAATCTGGGAATATGAAGATACAAAGCAATAAGGAGACAGCCACAGAGGATGCCAGCTAGTTCTGTTGATACAATGAGAGCTTTTCCAAGCCACCAAAACATCAGGCTGTTAGTAAGATTCAGGACTCAGGTGATAGCTGGTTTTTTAAAGGAAATCAGTTTCTCATACTGATATGTTCTAGCAGAGTTTACACTTTAATTCCTTTAGTCTCAAGTGCAACCCTTACATGCTCATGCATATGCTTTGGAAGGGTGTAGAAATTACTCTTTTCGTTACCCTGCTTGCCTGACAGCTTTCCAAGAAGTGCCCTTGCTGTTAAATGCCCTACAAGCCAGTCCCTGATGGTACTAAATGTGCAATGGCACGGTTTTATTTGTTTCACACAAAAAAGGGGGGAACCCTGAAAGACCTGAATGGGCTGCCCTATTAAGCCAGTTCTCCACTGCTGACTCCTTGACAGGGAGGTTACATTGGGGGGGTGGGGGTCTTCACTTACCTATGGATCATGTTGTGGGAATGCAGATATGCTAATCCTTGGAGAGCACCGTGGGTAATGGCAGCTATTTCCACCTCTTGCAAAGGCTTTTTATGGACTTGAAGAAAGAAAGATGCAGTTAACATGCCAGCAGTGAGCACACTCTCAGACACAGGCAATAAAATCTTTAGTGGAGGGGCAAGGCTCATGACGGCCCAATGCTGTGGTTTCAGCAACCAGCCTCAAGCTCAGTGGTCTTCCACTTGGCCTATCAGAAACACTAAGAGTTGGTAACAACCACCTTACTTTATGGCTGCTCTTCCCAAACACAGACTCAACACCCAAAACTGATAAACACATCCCCACCCCTGTCCTAAGCCTTTCTGAATGCCTCAGTGTTGTCACAAAACAAAGCAAGTGCCCCCAAAAACATAACCTCTCCTCCCCCACCACTTCCTGCAGGCACTCCCAAGCTACCTGCCACAAATACAGACTGATGACAGCTCGTCTTGAACTGAGAAGTCCATGCTGTTAAAAACAAGCATTTGACTACAGCTACACTGGCAAGAGAGCCTTATGCCTCATATAGCTCTCCTGGATATGTGCCTTCCTTCCGGAATGCTGCAAGAAACCAGACCAGCAAGTCAAAAGTGACTTGTTGCTTGGCTAGGGAAGCCACTGACAACAGAAAATAATGAAGAAGTAGAGACATATACTGAGATATGGAAATTTGGCTCTGCTGAGAGATATTACAGAGGAATTTGGAGGCTTCTCTCTTTCACACATGTGCACACACTCAGTCAAGTATCGGAATAGCTTACCTTCTAATAAATCTGATGCTGATCCTAAACAGTATTCCATAACAAGCTAAAGAGGGTAGAGGGGAGAACAAGCTGTTAGAGAACACTACAAAGTTAAGAGTCCAGTGGCACCTTTAAGGCCAACAAAGTTTTATTCAAGATGTGAGCTTTCGTGTGCAGGCACGACTCTTCAGATTACAGATCATAGTTGTATATATAGGGGTGGCTTGTTAAATTAGCATGCAAAATAGTAAAGATGTTTTTTAACAGATCAAAAGAATAACACTACAGTTAGGTAGTAGGACACCGCCCCAATCGAGAATGTATGCCACCATCTACCTCAAAGTCCTCAAGCTTCACCAGAAAACTGCCCAGCATCTGACATCAGGCCAGAAAACAAGCCATCACAATCCTCCCATGTTCATTCTGCACCAAGTGGCAGGCTCAGAGATGCAGGGGGATGAGAGGTGACGATGACTCCAAGTTAACAATTTTATTCATGGAACCTCAACAAATTTTCTGAGATAGTATATAATAAAACTTTTGGAAACTCACAACAAAATCAGCAGAATATTATTAAAAAGTGGCAAAACAGGGTGGTCCTTTAAAAAAAAAAACTTTTCACCAAATGCCCAAGAAAATAAAACATCAGATTTTTTGGAGTTATTAATACAGTCAAAGACCAGCATAAATCATATACACACAATCACGAGGAATAAAGTTAAATAGAAGAATACCCATATAATAGAAAATAAAATTTAAATTTGATAAAATATATCACAAATTAAAATAAATATTATGTTAAATTTAAGAACCACTGCTTAAGATAACTTTGCAAATTTTGCTGGCACCCACAAAAAACCTTGCACAGGAAGCTGTAATTTGTGGATTCACGCCTGTAAGGAGCTTTCTAGTAATCTCAGAAGCAGGACAGCCCAGTGGCTTTCTAAGGAATGAAAGGATGAACTTTGCACAAATTTCTTGGTAGAAACAACATTGCAACAAGACATGTTCAACAGATTCAATCCTACCAGCTCCGCAGGGGCAAACCCTCTCAAGCACAGGGGTCTTCTATATCTTCCCTTGACCACTGCAGAGGGGAATGCTCTCCATTGAGCTAGGGAGAAAGCCCTTCGATGGGATGGTATCTCCAATGTTGATAAATAAACAGCCGGTGCGACAACATATCTAGTATTTTCTGGTGCCAAAAAATCTGGAGTATTATCTTCCCCTGGCACCTAAAACTCAATACAGAAGGCGCTAGGTGAACAGAGACAGGGAGGGGCATTTTACAAATTGGATGTCATCGCTGTAAGATCCTGTGTCTCTGGCAGTCGGTCACCCACCTTACTTCAGAAGGTTAGGGCACACAGAGAATGTGTCTAATGAACATCTTAACAGCCAGGCAACTTTGCGTGGCAGTAAGGCGGCCTTTCAGGTAACTTTCAAAGCCCCAAACAGTCTGAGACTAGGGCAAGTCCCAGGACTTGAAAATGTGTCTGGAAATGAACAGGAAGTCAGCACAGTTCTTTCAGAACTGGCAGGATGCACTCATAGCAATCTAGTCCAGTCACTGCAGTCTTCAATCAGTATTTAAAAAAATATAGTGCCTTGAAGTGGCCTAGCTTGAATGTGATCTGTTCATGGATAAATGTGGTCAGTCAAGAACAGAAAAGTAAATCAAATAGAGCTACGGTAGTATGTAGCACAGATGAGAACCAAACCTCTCTCTGTAGGCCCAGGTCTAATGGTACCCACAGGCTGCAAATCTGGTTTTAAGGGAAGTGCAACTCAGTTTAAAACCCTGGTCAGGGCTCTTTTTTTTTTTTTTAAGAAGTGTTGGAATTCTCAAGAGGGAAATGAAGTTTTCAATCTGTATACTGAAAACTCAGGTTCCAGAACTCCATTCCAGCACGTTCCCCCAGGAAAACAGCCATGATCCTGGTTACCTAAGATGGTTGACCAACCATGCCTCAGGCTTATGAGGACTGTGCTTTGGTTTAGTGGCCTTCACCCAGTCCGTTATTCCCTCCAAGCATCTATTCCAAACATCTACCATCTTGCCCAAGTCAGCTGTTTAGGCACCAAATGCATACTGGTGAACACTTCACTCGATCTCCAGATGATGACCCACAATGGGTTTTTGTAGATGTTAAATAGCATGGGAAACCAGACAGAACCCCACAACGCAAATACTAATGACTGAAATAGCTGGCTACCAGCATCCCCAGCAATCTACTAGACAGGAATGGAGCCATTAGTACATGGTATCCCCCATAAACGATTTAAGATGACCACATTAGAAACATATTGTGGTTGATTATCATTAGGTAGGGCAATGAAAGGGGATTCACAGTAACAAAACAATCTGGAAACAAGACTGAAGTGAGTCTGATAATTTATCTCATTCAAAAGAATCTGGAGATGCCTGGTTACCCCTTGCTAGAGAACCTTGCCCCTTATGGGGGTATTACTGGCCAGCTGCTTGGAATGCTTGGAATGATTCTGCAGCTATGATCTACTGGTTTAATGAATTTGCTAGTAAGCAGAGCATCACGGGCTTGCCTGCCTGACAGTTTCAGAAACACCACTGTCAAACCTTGGAAGCCTTCTATCTTAAGAGGGCAGGGATATATATATATATATATCACCACTGTCAAACCTTGGAAGCCTTCTATCTTAAGAGGGCAGGGATATATATATATATATATATATATATATATATGAAGGCAAGAAATAGTCATCCAGAAGGCCAACTCACTTGCAGTTCAATCCAACCCCTGTCTATGCAGGTCCACTGATTTCAATGGATTTTACTTCTAAGTAAACAAATGAAAGCCTGCAGCCCTGATATAAAACTGAAAGACGCTAAGACGGGTATTTACGGTTTCAGCTTGAGCAAGTTTTGAAGGAATACGTGTCCCATGAGGTTAGCATCCCAGATGCAGGAGAGTGAAGTTGGCTTGTTGATTTCATGGGATGCATTCACGGGGAAAGTAATGAAAAGGAGCACCTAATCCTTCCAAGTTTCATGTGTTGTGTTTTTTAATTTTATTGAGAACTCTATTTTTAACAGCGGCCTTTAGAACAAAACTACTCAGCATAAATCATCCAGAAAAATGACAAATTAAAAAAAAACCCAGTTACACTATCTCTGTTATCATTCACTAATGGGAAGTTTGCTAAAATTTTGAGCAACTATCAAGGGAAGCAGCCAAACTTTGGTATTAAATTATGTCAGAATGAAAGAGTTAAGTACACAGAAATTCTTTTAATATCCACGTTCTAAACACAAGCCAAGAAGACTGGATAAAGAAGTTTTACTTCATTACAAGAATTTCAAATAACGTAATGGAGATCAGGGTGCTCAAGACATCAAGTGATGATCTTGAGAAGAAAAATGCAAGTGTTGCAACACACCCATTCAACACTGGCAACCAGGGGAAATACTTTTATTTCTATCTGACCCATAACACACACACACAGTATTTTCTTACCCATGCCGTATGCTCCCGCAAATAGCAGCCTTTGTATTCTATACTGTTGGGATGTTTAATTCGTTGCAGGAACTTGACTTCTTTAATGATATCCTGCCATTTCTGTGGAAGAGGGAAAAAAGAACTTGGTAAAAAGATTTATTGGAGGTGGGATGGGAAAAGTGGCCTACTGTAGATAAACAATTCTAGTTACCGGTCACGAATACCTCGGCAACCTGTGGAAGTGAAGACCATTCTCTGCTGCCTGCCTTCCAGTCTGGGAGAAACCAGAGCCCTTCAGTGCTCAACGGCAACTGTCACAACCAGTTTCACTCAGAGAGTTCGTTGCCTTCATCCAGTCTTTACCAACTTTCACCCAATATGCATTGCCACTGAGACTGCCTCTCCTATGGACAAACCTCAGGACCCGCTTTCACAGGCTTTGTGACCCACTTTTGGGTCTGAACAGATAGGTTGAGAAAACAGAGTTGCACTTACTTGTAACTGTTGTTTGTCGACGTCTTCCGTGCAGACACACACTGGGACTGTGCTTGTGCAGGCCAGCCACGGCACATTTTCTTTCTAGTTCAAAAATTCCAAAGAAGGAGGCGCCTTGCTCCTTTTCGGAGCTGATACAGGTGCGGGATTCCTACCCAATGCATCACACGCTCCATCGGCAGGCGCCTACTTTCCTCAGTTCCCACTAAGCCGCTGCGAGCTCCCTTCCATGACACAATAGGCCCTGTGAGAGCTCATGGTGGGGCAAGAGGGAGGGAATGTGTGTCTGCAGAGAAGACGCTGATGAACAACAGTTACAGGTAAGTGCAACTCTGTTTTCATCTTCTGCCTTCTCATGCATCCCCCACATTGGGACCATAAGCCAGCTACTCACCAGAGGAGGTAGGGTGAGTCTCTCACTGGAACAGAGCCTGTAGATTAGCCTTGCCCACATCTGCTTCTTTCCTCACTTGAGGGTCTGAAGCGTAGTGCTTCACAAATGTGTCCTCTGTCGACCAGGCTTCCGCCTTACAGATGTCCAGCAGGGGAACTCATCGATGAAACGTGGTAGATGACCCCTGTGCTCAGGTGGAGTGTGGTTTTGCATCAAGGGGATATGGCTCTCTAGATGCCACGTAGCAGGAACAGAGGGCAGCATCTACTCATCTGGACACGGACCGGGCTGAAGCAGGTTTGCCCTTTCTGGAGCCCCAATACCAAATAAATAGTGCTTTGTTCTTACGGAATGGTTTGGTTCTATCTATATAGTAGAGGAGGGCCCTCCTAACATCAAGGGTAATGTAGGGCCTTATCTGCTTCTGAGCGGGGAAAAATACTGATAGGAAAATGTCCTGTGCTACGTGGAACTTGAAAACTACCTTAGGTAGGAAGTCTATACTCAGGTGTAATACGACCTGTTCACTGAATATCTTGGGGGGGGGGGAGGAGGAGAGATTCACTACCCAAAGGAGGCTCAGAGCAGCTTACAATCTCCTTCCCCTTCCCCTCCCCACAACAGACACCCTGTGAGGCAGGTGTGGCTGAGGGGGCTCTTTCAAGAACTGCTTGTGAGAGAACAGCTCTGAAAGAACTTGTGACAGACCCAAGGTCACACCAGCAGCTGCATGTGGAGGAGTAGAGAATCAAATCAGGTTCTCCCAGATTCGGGGATCAACCCTGAGTGCTGCCAGTCAACGGACTCTACTGCTTGAGGTAATAGTCACTAAGAATGCTACCTTCCCTGACAGCAGTGCTGTGTAGCCATGAATGCCTCCTGAGGACTATGGCAGAGGCCATCGATCTGGCTGATACATCAGCGGCATGTCTGCCCACGTTAATCTCCTGTTTTGAGAGTTTCATTGCCTTGGACTGGATAAGTTTAGCCAGGGACTTGGATTCATCAGGCAATTTGTCCAGGTTCCTCCCAGAGGAAAAGCTGGTAGCCTCCCATGATCACTTGATAATTTGATAATTTGCCACTTGAAAACTGAGAGCAGAGGAAGTATAAAACTTTCTTCCCAAAGCGTCCAGATGGTGGCTTCCCCTGTCAGCTGGGGATGAATGCTGGCCATGACTAATGAAGACGGTGGTGGGTGCGTGGACTGAAACTCACAGGAGTCCTGTTTTACTCTGTATACATTTTCAATCTTACAAGGTATGACCTGAATGGAGGCTAGTTTCTGCCAGACTGGAATTGTGAGGTCAGAAAGACCTCCCAGGATTGGAAAACTATCTCTGGAGTGTCAGAGTAGAGACAACTCAAAATTCTGTCCTTCAGACAGTTCTCTGAAGTGGTAACATCCTTTTGCCATTCTTAGCATTTGTTCTCCATAGAGACGGAGGTCTTTGCTAGGAGATACTGGGGTTGGGTCGCCCACGGTACCATCGAGTGATGGGTCCAAGGCACTCTCGGAACTATAACAAGATGCTGCAGACACCTCTTCTTTAGGCTCATAGTATGGACACTGGAACGGAAGCAGCGTGGGCATCCATGTATCCCTGTGCATTAGGGTCACACCCCTCTAAAGTTTGAGGGTAATGTCCAGCCCATCTATTTAAATAGGATAGTGACATATAGTAAGAATGTTGAAGAGGGCCCGCACTGCTTCTGCGCAGGAGGTTCCAAATGCAACCGGACCTTAGTTGACGGTTCTACAGAAGCTGAACATGGGCACCTAGATTCTTCCTCTGGAGCAATTGAAGTTGCTCTTTCTGGAGGGATTGGGGCCATCCTGATAGTTGAGGTCATAGGAACTGAATGGGGGCCCAGAACTGATGGGGGCCCAGAACGGGATTCAGTAGTCAGAGCCTAGGGAAGTGGACCCAAGATAGTAGGACCTGGGCTCGGAGTTACCTTGGAAGGAACCAAGGAGGACAAAGCCTTCTCCCACAGTGCGGCTTTCAGCCTAGAGACCCTATCTGACCGAGCCTTCAGGGTAAAGCGCTGGCAAACTGAACAAGCTCCAACATTGTGGACCTCTCCTAAGCACAGAAGGCAGAGTTCATGCTTGTCTTTGTATGTCATCTTTGTTCCACATTTTGCACATTTTTAAAAACAGTGCCTTGGACACCTTGATGAGGGGGACCACAAGCACAAGAAACAGGGAGAGCCTGGACGATGGGACTTGCCTCTTGTGAAATAGACTCCTGAAGGAGTGCAAAACGAACCCTCGATGGACAAAAAGGAGTCTTCTTTCATCCACAATGACAATGAAGAAAATCAATGGAGTGTGCTAGAAAGCTTCCTATCCTTGCAGCAGCAAAAAAGGAACTGAGGGAAGGGGGCACCCTGCCAATGGAACACATGGCACATTGGGTGGGAATCCCACACATGCATCGGCTCCAAAAAGGGGTGGGGTGCCCCCTCTTTGGGGTTTTTGAGCTAGAAAGATAATGTCCCATGGTCAGCTTGCGCAAGCACCATCCCAGTGTGGGGCTGCACGAGAAGACGGATGATGAAACCATGGCGTAGTTGTACAGACTTGGATTTGGGAGATCCAAGCTCAAATCCCCATTCTGCCATAAAGCTCACTGGACGACCATGGGCTCCCTCTCAGCTTAATTCATTTTAATTAATTTATTAAATCATTTACATCCCACCTTTCCTTTTGGTTCAAGGCAGCTTATAATAGTTAAAACATCACCAGCTAAAACCAAAGATAGAATAGCAAGCCCCATCCCTCCCCGCCTTAAAAGGTGCCCGCCATTCAACCTCCTTCAAAAAGTTCTGGCAAGTAGGCAGGTCTTGCAGTGCCTCCTGAATAACTCCAGGGAGGGGGCTCCCCCTCACTTTTCCAGGGAGCCTATTCCACAGAACCAGAGCCATGACGGAAAAGGCCTGGGCTCTGGCTGATGCCAGACAGGCCAAGCTAAGTGGTCAGACAGACGACAGGTGGCTGTCTGATGACCGAAGTTTGTGCACAGAGACACGTGGAAGGAGATGGTCCTTCAAATACGTGGGTCCAACACGAAAGGCTTTAAAAGTCATAACCTGGGTGTGGAGTTAATGATTCAGCAGAAAAAAACATTGTTGATCAATGTGTACGCACCCAATGGAGCAAAGGAAAAATTTTTTAAGGATATAACTGACCAATTACAACAATTGACTTATGAGCAAGTTATTATGGCCGGAGACTTTAATGGGACAATAGATCGTGTAGACAGAAAACCACAAAAGGACAACGAATTCAGCGGAAAATTGCCAAAGAATTTTTTTGAATTAGTTAAGCAAGAAAAATTAGAAGATGTTTGGAGGAAATGGAACCCGATGCAGAAAGACTTTACTTTTTATTCCAATAGACATTGCTCTTTTTCCAGAATTGATATGATTTGGATGTCTGAAGAATTATCAATGAAAACACATAAGACTGAAATTTTGCCAAGATGTAACTCAGATCACAATCCGGTGGTATGGAGTTCCACAGAAGGGAAAAAACCCTTTCTGTGGAGGATTAATGAAGACTTGTTGGATAAGAAAACGGTAATTGAGATGTTAAAGGAAGAAACGAAACAATTCTTTCAACAAAATTTAAATAAAGAAACACCGATACAGATTGTATGGGATGCTTATAAAGCTGTGATGAGAGGAATTCTCATCTCGCAAAACGTGAAGCAAAAAAAGGAAAAACTTCAAAAACAAACAGAAGTGTTAGAAAAAATTGCTCAGAAAGAAAAGGAATTAAAAAAGAAGCCTGGAAAAAAGCAAATTATTAAAGAATTAAAGTTGCTGAAGGAACAACTGAATGAGACTTGGAATCAGGAAATGTATTGGAATTTAAAGAAGTTACAACAGAAATCTTTTGAAGGGGCGAACAAACCGGGAAAATACTTAGCTTGGCAACTTAAGGCTAGAAGAGAGAGAAGAATGATAACCAAAATAATAGAAGATGGAAAAGAGTTCGTTGATCCTAATGGAATAAAGAGATGTTTCTTCAAGTATTATGCTAAACTATTCCAAACAACTAGAGTTGATCTTGAGAAGATTAAAACATATTTAAAGGAGATTCCACTACCAAAAATAAGTAAGGAATACAAAGATTTATTAAATGGTCCAATTCAAAAAGAAGAAGTGATGAAGGCAATAGAAGAGACAAAGTTGGGGAAGGCGCCTGGGCCGGACGGATTTA